CGTGCCTGACCCCCGAGCTGTGGCCCGATCTGGTGACGTTGGAGGGGGCCGTCCGCGCGCCCGACGAGCTCATGCAGGTGCGCCGCCGCGCCGCCGCGCCGCCGCCGACGGGCCGTCACCGACGCGTGCTCGGGCACGGCAAGACACGTACCGCGGAAGAAGTATCTGACACAAACTGCTTGGGCTCTGTGTGGTGACGTGCGACAGTTTGTGTGGGAAATGCTCGACATTCCTGTGACTATTGTTTCAAGTCTGAACCCAAAACCAGTAATGCAATGCAACCGAATGGCCAGCGAAGGTCTGATGCTGCCAGGATGCGGAATCACGCTATTTTGTTTTCAAGGTCGCGATCTTTATCCCTCAATATTTGTTGCATCTGTGCGCCTTAGAGTGATTGTTGCACAGGGGCCGCACTGATAAGTGTTTAAAGGTATGTGTTAGGGACCGCAATCCGTGTTTTTCTGGCGTTTAACCGCCGCCGACGCTGGCTGTTGCCCCCCCCCCCCTCAGCCGCTGCCGAAGGCGTTTTTCGGTGTTTGGCTGCCACGGACGCTGACCCTCCTCGGTGCCGTTGATGCGGCAGATGGTGTTTTTCGGTGGTCTGGACGAGCGTCTGCGGCCACTGGTCTGGCCGTTGCTGCTTGGCGTGAACGCGATCGGCTCCACGGAGGCAGAGCGCGAGGAGCGGCGCGCGGAGCTGGAGCGAGAGTACGAGCGCATCAGGTCAGTGTGACCCCCGGGTCAGGTCAGGTCAGGTCAGGCCGGTAGGTCACACGGGACAGCCTGACGCCGAGCGGTGCCGGGCTGGCCAGCCCCCATGCACCGTGTCGGTTCAGCCTGCCTCCCCAACACCATCGCATCAGCCTTCCGAGACCGTGGCGCCAGCGTTTTCTCTCGTAGACTTTACGAGGTTTCTGTGCGGAGTCCCATCGTTCTGTCATGTGGCTGGTCTGTTGGCAGCTGCGCTAGCCTGTACCGTTCGCCTCCGCCGACCAATCGGCTACCGAAACAGCTGGCTAGCCTGTTCGGAGCTGCTCTGACCTAAACCGTACGCTGGCGCCGACCAATAAGCTACGGGAATAGCAAGCTGGCCTGTTCGGAGCTGCGCTAACCTGCACCGTTCGCCTCCGCCGACCAATCAGCTACCGAAACAGCTGGCTAGCCTGTTCGTAGCTGCTCTGACCTATACCTTACGCTGGCGCCGACCAATAAGCTGCGGGAATAGCAAGCTGGCCTGTTCGGGGCTGCGCTAACCTGTACCGTTCGCTTCCGCCGACCAGTGAGCTGCCGGAGCGGCTGGAGGGGGCGGCGCGCGATGAGTTCCATCGCCTGGTGACCTCGACGGTCGACAAGGATGTGGTGCGCACCGATCCGGCCAACCCGTTCTTCTGCGGCCGCGCCAACCCCAACGTGCAGACTCTCAGGTCAGGTCAAGGTCAGATGTGGGTTGAGGTCAGGTGAGATGTGTGTGAGGATCACGTCCGGGGCTAGGTGGAGGTTGTGGTATGCATGTCAGGGCATGTGCACGTATTTTCAAGGTCAGGTGTAGATTAAGGTCAGGTGTAGGACAAGATCAAGTGAAGGTCGGGTGAAGGTCACAAGTATTTCGATGCTGAGCTAATCAATGACTGGGTACTCTGGGGAGTGCAAGCTTCGCGGGTCGATAGCGTAAACGGGTCGATTATGTAAGCTCTCACTCTGCTGTTTCTGGTGTGTGCTGCTGGTACATGCTGTCAGTTTTCTGCCTTACTTGGTGCTGGTACTGTGGCCGCTGGCGCTGCACTGGGCTCGCTCCCAGCCGTCTGCCGCGCGCCGACGGCGTCCGCTTTAGACCGCGCGCGCCTGCTGCCCCGTTCCAGGCGAATCCTGCTGGGCTTTGCGGCGGCGAACCCGGCTCTGGGCTACACGCAGGGCATGTCGGACCTGCTGGCGCCGCTGCTGGAAACCCTGGGTCAGCCGGCGGCCGCCTACTGGGCGCTGGACGCGCTGCTGAAGCGCTCCGCCTCCGTCATCAGTCCGCGCGACGACGTCATGGACCGCCAGCTGGTCAGTCGGCCAATCGGGCTTCTCGAGCGTGGCGTTAGAGGGTTGATCGGCCAATCAGAAGCGTAATGGTGACGTCATGTGGTTAGTTGGCCAATCGGGTAGCCCGGGGATGACGTTAGGTGGTGAATCAGCCAGTTGAATGTCCCAGGGATGATGTCATGTGTGTCAGTCTGCCAATCAGGTGAATTGGCTGTAATGTCAAGGTGGCCAGTTAGCCGATCGTGCGACCCTGGCGTGACGTGATGTGGTCAGTCAGCCATTCAGGCGACTCGGGGATGACCTGAACCGGCAAGTCGGCCCACCGGATGTTCCGAAGTAGCGTTTTATGCTCTGTCACCCTTTCAGGCATCATGTGCTAATGTTTCTGACGGCCAGCTAGTTAGTTGACCAAGCAATGTTGGCTGGGGTGGGCGAGGGGGGGGGGGCTGGGAGGGGGCTTGAGGTAACCGATGCTACTGGAGGTAACATGGGATTGTCAGTCAGCGAGGGGTCGAGGATATGGGAAAAAGTTGGGATGTCAAAGCTCTGGAATGGACAGGCTTCAGTTTTTGAAAGTTAGAATTATGGACACTGAAGTGAAAGCTGGCTGTTGTTGCCGCCACGTAGCACGTCCTCCACCGATGATTGTATTGTCCGCACAATATAAATGCAATCAGTATTCCACGATGTGTAAACCCTCGTCGTTGAGGCACCACCTAGCGACACCCGCAATGACTACAAGTGCCCTGCGTGGCCGCCAGGCGTGCCTGCGCGAGCTGCTGCGTCTGCTGACCCCGGAGCTGTACCAGCACCTGGCTGCCGTGGAGGACGGCCTGGAGCTGCTCTTCGCGCACCGCTGGCTGCTGCTGTGAGTTAGCCTGCGTGCGCTGGTAACAGACCTGGCCTGGGGTGTCTTCCAAACTAGTGGCTCTCTTCCGAGCCGGGGTCCTCTGGTAAGTGGGGGCGCTTGCCGGGATGTTTGGAACTTGACATCTGTTTTTCCATCCGCCCATGCACGCGACAGGAGGCCAGCATTGACCATCATGCTGCCTCTAGTTTTCTGCGCTGTGGCTATGTGTCACATGCTGAGCAAACCTCTACGCAAAACAGCGTAAATAAACATATTATGTGGACCCTGCTGTTCCCCAGATTACGCGTCTTTGTCTCTCTTTCTGCTTTATATGATCTTTTTCCACAGTTGCAGGACCCATTTCATTGCCACGTTTGTGTGTGCCTGCTTCTGTATGGCAGGAACACTTCTGTCTCCCATCTCCTCTGTGCAGCGATGACCCCGCCCCCGCCCCCCTCCCCGGCAGCTGCTTCCGACGCGAGTTCCCAGAGCCGACGGCACTGCGCATCTGGGAGGCCTGCTGGAGCTGCCCGACCACTCGCCACTTCTGCCTCTTCGTCTGCGTGGCCGTCTGCGCCGCGTACGGCGCCGATGTGACGTCACTGAGCATGAACGCCGACGCCGTGCTGCTGCACTTTACCAGCCTGAGCCAGCACATGGACGGTGACGTCATACTGCGCAAGGTGAGCGGGGCGGTGGGTGGCGTCATACTGTGCATGCGGAGGGCTCCGCAGCAGCTGTCTGAGGGGGGGGGGGGGGATTTCGGCATTATTTCAGCGTTGTTGTGGGAGCCCGCACGGGCCGGCAGGCAGCGGCGACCGCAGGGAGTAGTGGGAAGCAACCGACGGCGACCGAAAGGATGGGGGGATAGAGTGGTCCCTGCCAACGCTTTGTGCCGGCGGGACGCCCGCGCCCTTCTGCGTGTGGCGGACTGTTGGGGAGCAGCGCGGAAACCGGTGGATGTGTTAACACCCGCTCGGGTGGGGGGGGGGGGGGGGGGCGTCTAACTTTCAACAACTTGACCCCCCAAAGGCTTTTCCAGAATGGTTTCCGAACGGCTCGGCTCAACCGCGCCGAATTTTGCATAGCTGTAGACGATTGAATAGCGGGTCGTTTGACTTAAAAATTTAGATGTACAAGGTCGCTGACCTATGGCAGGTCAAAATCAGGCCATTGTTTTAGCGAAGGCAATTTCTAGGGAATCCTTTAATCTGATCCAACAACGAAGTGTTAGACGAAGTCATGCATCTCTGAGATGCTTTCTTAGGCAACACAACAGTTGAATGAGCAAATTCCATTGACCTAAGGTCAGGTATGAAGGTCACACCAAGGTCAGAGCCAACCTGTTTTGTTACTCCAGGGCTTGCTGTATGGGATAGTTTCTGTTGCTTATTTCGAGTTTATTGATAGCAGGACCCGCATTATGCGTCTTCCATGAACTTCTTAGAGGTCAGAATACGTCATTGACCTAAAATGGCCCAGGTCAACATTTTGTTTTAACATGCTGCCTAGCATAATCTTTGTCGCTTAGTGAAATGCAAGACTCAAAGCAACCTTGTATGATTTTGGTTGCCTTGACCTTCAAAAGATCAATGTCACTGACCTTGAATGAGAATGTGACCTTTTGCTTTGAAACGGTTGTATAGGTTCTGGGGACACTTTGGAGACCAACCTGGAACTGGACCTTGTTTGACATTTTTGACCCGAAGGTCATGACATAGGAACCTGAAACTTTGACCTAAGTGAGTTCACGTACAGTTCAACACACCCTGTAAATTTAGTGTCTCTAGCTTTCTTAGTTCCCGAGATCTCAGGGGGGTCAAATTGACCCCCACCCGAGCGAAGGGTATCTAGCCGGCCACCCGGGCGCGTGTTAAAAGGCATCTGCACCGATAACTGATAAACGGTTGTGAGTGATTTAGTTGCGTCTTAGCAGGAGTGTCTGGGGTGCAATTAAATCTCTGTAGAAATGGAAGCGAAACGAGCTTCCCCACTTACTACTTATATTTGCGCGCAGTCAGACTGAACAACATTAGCTATTTTCCCCTTCATCGTAACTGCCCACCAGAAATGTTTTGCCGAAACTACGCCAACTGCGTATTTATAGTAACACCTTGTTGACCTTTGGACCCTGCTGAACGACTTCAGGCCCGTGACGGTGTTCTCGCAGTCAGACCCAGGGTATTTTTGTTTTGCTTGTCAGGCCTCGGCGTCGTCGGGAATGCTTTGACTATCCGGAGTGTCCTTGTTTTGTGGGGAGGGGGTTGAGGAGGGGGGAGAGCTTGAACAGCGTCCTCTGAGGTCCCAACATTATCAGCTGGCCATGCGTTCGGGCGCAGATGTGCGTCTATCCCTGCCTGGGAGTGGCATGGGACGCTGAGCCATCACGCCGCGGCACCTCGGGTCCCAAGTCGAAGCTCCGTCTGCTGCACCTTGGCGTGCATACGTGATCTTAGCCAGCATCACCTTCCGGGCTAGTGTGTTGACACGAGCGTCTAACTTTGTACCATGCGTTGTACAGATGTAAAGATTGTCAAGATACGTCAAGGGTCGCTTGTGTCGTTCACGAGAAACATCGTGTTTGCCACGTGATCCACACGATTGGGTGGTCCGAAGTTTGCCGGGTAGGTTGTTGACCTTCACACCGTGATCTTGACACCCCGCCTAAGCGGCGGCGTCACGTCAGCGGCCGTGTGTCACGTGGCGCGTGGTCTCCTGACCGTGCTCTGCACGTGTCGGGCTCGTGGTTGCGGTAGGGCGACCCGGAAGGCGACGGTCTGGGCCGCGGCAGAGCCCACGTGCGGAGCGGTATGCCTCACCGAAGTAATGGGGCGGCGTGGGTTGCACATTGCGGCGCGGAAAGCTTTCGTCTATGTTGTCCGTGTGTCTTTTTCCGTAGATGATTCGTGTAATTAGGTGTAAGTGGGGATGATTTCCGCCTGGCTCAGTCCATGTGCTCCAAAACTGTTTAACGAATCACACCCGATTGCTAGTTGGGTGCCTGATAATGTCGCATCTCTGATGTGTTTTCCCGCCACCGTGGGAGAACCGGTCTGTTGAGTATTCCGGCATCTGGTACCACAAGAACGCCATGGCATGCAGGTGGCTGCGACAGAGCCACCCATGTAGGGAACTCCGCTGGGGAAGCCCTCGCCCAGCCCCTGACTGACTTTCCAACGGTGCTGGTCATCCGTCGGTGGGCTGCATCGGGAGTAACTCTGAACCGGGGAGACTCACCTGTCCGGAGGGGTGGCCGTCCTGTCATCCGACTGGCGTGTGGGCCTGACGGCGCCTTGTCGTAGTGATGACAACTGGGACGAGGGAGTCCTTTATCGATGCACGGTGTTAAGGATGTGTGCTGGTTATTGATGAGCTTGTGTGATGTTGAATATATAATACAGTGCCGTGCAGAATTGATTGGGTGCCATTTGTTACCTTGTTAGGTCCTTGAAGCTGTCCAGAACTCAGCGCTGTTATTGGCACGTTTCAGTACCATGCCGTTGATCGTTTGCGAGTTGTTGCGCTTGTTGCGCCTTTTTATATATCCATGTATGCTGCACATGTTTTTGCGTTATATTATGTGCTGCCAAGATATTCATTAGACCTTCTTTCCCTGAAGGCCAGTAAAATCGTTCGAACGGGAACCTGCGGCTATGTTATTTATTAATAGCATCCGTGCAAACCGCAATGCTTATATAATTCCCCACTTGCCAACGTCATGGTGTGTTCTAGCGCCGGTGATAATGTAAGCTGCATGCGGTCGTAAATCATAAATGGCTTTTCCGGAGCGTCCACAATCCCATTACTAGCACCTCCACTCTGAACAGTTTCCAAGAACGTTGGGTCAAGTGCAGACTTGGCACAGTCAAAGTCCCCGTGTGCCAATCTCCTTCATTGGTCACGATGGACCGATAGTTCAACAGTGTTTGTTATCGCGTCTGCGTGAAGTCACATTTCGGATGTATCGTGTGCTGCCCCGGCTTCCCTGATATCGTTTCCATGTGACGCCCTTGAAACCCGGTCGCTATGGACCACGCGCTGTACCTTGGCACTGTTTATTGACGCGCTGTCGTGTTATTGGACGACGGCGTCACGTGCACGCGCTATCACGCCCGGCGCACCGTCACCATGGTGCGATGACTCACCGGTCACGTGATGTGTTGGGGAGGGGGCAGGGGGTCTCGCTGGAGTTCAGCTGAGCGCGAGGAGGTTTTCCGGGAGAGGCGTTGCACATTACAATGGCGGCAACGCTCGGCGTCGTCGCAAACGTGCAGGGTTTGGTTCTGCCCCGCTCACCAACCCCCCCCCCCCCCCCCCTGTCCTCCTGTGAATTAATTTCGGGTTGGGTTTATCAAAGTTGCAGAACCTTCTCCTGATTCAAGTGGTATCTTTATGTTCGCCTGGGGTTTTGTCTTGACGTTATAAACGAGCTGCGCACTGACGTGATTGGTGTTGGCTTTAGGTTAAAATCAAGACCCACGATCGCTTCGCCACCAATCTCCGAATGACAGCAAAAAGGCGACCACGTACTGCTTTGACGCTTGGAAGATTGAATGCCTTGTAAAAAGTCTGATTCATTGGGTCGTGACGTTCGTGACTCGGAAGACGCTAATGACAATCGACTTCACGCGCGCGCGCGGGTCACACCTTTGCATTGATCACCTTTTTAAGCTGTAGTCCGAACCTCTTGGTTCAGTAGATTTCTGGATTGGAGCTATTTCAGTGAAAGTGGTGGTGAAGGTTGAGCTCCTAGCTTTCAAGGCCGCCAATTCAGAAGCCCCATGGTATAGAGGAGGGGGGGGGGGGGCACCTCAGCTCGGTTCACAAAACAGCTGCTCATCGACTGGCACGTATGTCACGACTTTGCCCACCAGATTCGCTGCCGCAGCGGCTGTAGGTTGGCGACAATGCCGGGGGGGGGGGGAGGGGGCAATCTTCGGCCACGCCTGTCGTGCGAAGTAAACCCCCATACCGGGTAGATTCGATCTGAACCGATCATCCCTTGACCCGGTCAAATTCAAGCTCATCACCGCACCAGACCGGGCTGTCTGAACATCCGCGTTTGACTCCCATTGAAAAAACGTGCAGAAGCTGAGCGCGTCTGTCGTACGAGCGTCACTGGTGTCACTGAGCATCAATGTCTGAAGTAGGTTACCATTCAATAGCCCCAGGGGTGATGTCTCCGCCCACTGGTTTTGGTGTGCTTGGAGGGCCCCCGCTCCAAATATTTGCACGCGCTTCTGGGTCACTTCTCTCTCACATACGGCTGCCGGCCACAAAAACGTGCCGTCGCACGTGGGCCCGTGCTGCAGCAGTGCAGTCCGCCCGGGGTCGGGCGGCACCCTCCGTTTGACCTGCACTATTGGTAATGGGAATCCTGCAGGAGTCCGCCGACCGCACGCACCACGCGCCACCGAGCGATTCGAAGTCGGCGCCAGGGTCAAAGGTCGGCGTCTCGAACGGCTCAGTAGCCGGCGCTTGTGTGGGGATGCGGAGGATGGTTCTAGCGCCGCCCGCCCGGAAGCTGAAGCACATACACACAGATGCACATACACACAGACATACAAACACGCAGACACACACACACACACACATAGACACGCAGGCCCACAGACAAGCGCCACATTCTGAACTTCTCTGAGGGGCCGCTGGGTGAAACCTCGCTTTTTAAGATGTTTGATAGGCACACTCTGCTCTCTCGGTTTGGGATGCCTCTGCATTGTTTTGATCTTAATTTGGGGCTGAGGGAGGGTGGTACCACTGACGCTGTCAGTACGGCAGGGAATGAGCCAATGACGTTACCATCAAGCAGAGGAATACTTACATACAGGAATATTTCGTGCGTTTGAGATTTGTTGCGGTTAAAAAACTGACTTCTGTAGTCTGAATCATGTTTTTTCAGAAATGCAAGTTGAGAAAGCTGTTTTGATAGGTCCTTTGAGTGGCCATGAAAACATCGCGCCTTGCTAATTGCATCACGTGCGTCGTAATGGTCAGTTACTGGGGCCTGGATGCTGCTGTATCGCGTACGGAACCATCGCTGTTGCCAATCACGTTGTCAAGCGCCGTCGGGCACCTGAGAAGTGCACGCTCCGATGGTCTGCTGTACTGAAGATTCCCCAGGTCGTCATCTGTCCCCTGGTGCTGGCACGATCAGTGACCTTGGTATCACCAGTACCCTCTGTATCCACCGCTGACCTCTGCGTGACCTCTGCCCCGGCAGGCGCGCGGTCTGCTGCACAGGTTCCTCAGTCTGGAGTCGGTGCCGTGTACGCTGGCGACGCTCTGCAGTGGAGACGGCGGCGGTCCTTGGGACCTGTGTCGGGTCACGACAGTGCAGTGCCGGGGTCACCCGGACGGCCGGCCGTGCCCCGCCGCCGCCCGGTGACGGCGACCCTTGACCCCGGGCGCGAAGTCCGACCTCGGGTCATGACCCCTTGACCTAGGATATGACCCCCTGACCTGGGTCACGACGCAGGACGGCAGTTTTTGATGCCCGCTCTTGGGTCGTGACCCCGACCTCATGGTATGATATTGACTGGATCATGACCCATGACCCACGAGCCACAATCCTGACCCCTGGCGCACGTCGTGGCCCGTCTGACATGAGCCTAGCTGCTAGACGGGTTGTGCTGTCGCACGTGTAGCCGTGCTGTCAGGTTTAACGTCGCAGGCCAAGCTGTGATGGCTCGAGGGTCTTAACGACTTGTGTTATTTAAGAAAGATGGATACACGAACAATGGCAATATACTAGTCACATTAGATATTTTTGACGCGTGCGGGAGTTGGTTTGTTCTGTCTGTCGCGGCATTACGTGGCCGGCTGCAGAGTCTGCTGCAGATTCTGCAGCCGGTCAGCTGTTGTGAACGATAGGGGGCACATTTAAGCTCGCAGGCCTGCAAACCGGGGGCAAACAGAGCTCAAAAGCGGCATCTCCAAAGTCCAAAACACCTGATGGCCCCAGAATCTGTCGTGGGTTTTGTAGGATTTAGTTGCAGCGGACCAGAGGTACCACGTTTGAGCTCTTAGCTCTCGCTTTGCGGGCTTGGTGTGGCACCCCCAGCCCGCAACAGCTGACTGGCAGCAGACTCTCCAGCAGATTGATGCGCACACGCAAAATGGCGGCGACTCCCATGCAGAGTTGGTTGTGACGTGCCTGAGTTACCTCGTGACCGTGGCGAGCCGCGACGCGTCAGATAATGGCAGTTGTCCTGTTTAACCGTTAGCCGAATGTAACCTGTGGGGCGTATTAGCCAGCGCTGTGCGGTGTGTCCTGCGTTTACTGCTGGGAGCGGAGTGTGTATTTATTGGGGAGGGGAGTGTGTGTAATGGATGCTATCCAGGTACTCTTGCCTTTACCTCGCTATCGTATCGTGCAAGCTCTGAACACACGGCATAATGATGTGATATCACTCGGTAGCTTTGTTGTCAGGGCCCTATGGCCTTATCGCATGGGTCCACGGTCTCGGCTTTGCTCGCCGTTGGCACCGCTTCGGGGAATTGCAAGCTCGTGGAAACCGACCACACCGGGCGTGGGTGACTGCCGTGCCCTTGCGAGCGGAATACAGTCGTGCGGAATATCCCCCTGTTTACCGATACATCGTCCGAACCACGCCCACCTGGGCATCATGTCCCGAGCCCTGCTCACCGCAACAATCGGGGGTTTACCACTGACATGTTACTCGAAACCGTGACCAGCGTGTGGCATCACCTCAGACGTGTGAAGAACTGATACGGTAAAACGGCGCTCATGATTTATTTCCGTCGCGCCGCCAGCTACCTCCGTAACACCAGATCGGCATTGGAAGCCACATGATGACGGTGCTCCATCACTACATCGATACACCATCAGCCTTATACAAAACCATGCTCTTACGTAAAACCGTCCACGGCAACTTATTACTTCGCTGGAGGGGCTCGTACCGCACTGCCAAAGGCTTCACACGTTACAGACAACTTACACGATGCCACCAATGGCGCTCTCCCGCCGACAGCGGAGCTCGCGCGGCGCCGCACACGGGGCTCAAAAAACCACCGCTCATCGAGTTCACCAGACACAGTGGACTGCACAGCACCCTTAATGGGGTCAACAACGGCGCCAATGGGGTCACAAAACATCGCCAATGAGGTTCATAGAACACCTTCAGTGGAGCTCTAATAACGCCGTCAATGGGGTCACAAAACACCGCCAGAGGCGGTCACAAAACACCGCCAGTGGGGTTCGCAGGACGCCACCACTGGGACGCCACATAACACCCGCCTGCCGGCCGGCAACGCGGCATCGCCGGCAGCGAGAACATCACAGCGGGTCGGAATGATGAGCCGTTCTCGCTACAACGGAACGCGCCGGATTTGACATACGCCCCGGTCGCGCGGCACTTTCGTGGTGAAATACGTCACTGAGACTTTGTCCGAAACACTTACAATTATGTACTGCAGCCCGTGCGGCAAAACGTGACGCGCGCGAGACCCGCTGAAGACGGCGGCTTGTGGACCGCTCCGCAGGCAACGTCTTAATGCTGAGATCACCGTCGCAACGCGAACAGACACACAGCAGGACGGTTCCCGTACCAAAACGTGGCTGGTGAGCAGCGGCAATCAACCCATCCGGACCGTACCGCAGGTCGGTCTTTTCAATAGTGTCGAGCGAGGGCGGATCAAGCTGCACAAGGTGCCAGTCGCAGTGTAACGCTTTTCTCTTTGGAGGAGGGCTATTATAGCCTCTCCCAGTTGCGAGGAAAGTGTATCAAACCTGAGGGAAATCCCGCCTTCTGCGTGTCATGGGGTCTGCTGGGCCATTTTTCCCTTTACAGAACCACCCACTTTTTGGCGAAGCTATCTCAATTACAGCACTGGCATGAACTAGTCACTTCACATGTGTGCACGCAAGGAGTGAGCACGTTAATATAAAGGAATGAGGCTATTGCCATTGGCAGTGTTTCTCCAATCCATAGCCGCGCTTCACACATCATGTCATGGGTGCATGCAGGATGCCTTGCGTACAATCACACCTTATTTCTCCAGTCTACTTCCTTTTAAGCGTGAACCTAGATTTTTGGCTGTGTACATCGTCACTCGTACAAATTTGATACGGAGGCGCGCGGGCACGATCCAAGATGCCAATTGAATAAGCCCAGCATCACATTATCGCGTTAGTCATGTTCAGCTAAGGAGCAGATATACTGGGGATCGGGAATCCAACGACGCCAGCCGTCAATGCTGGTTTGGTCTATGCTTCGTGCGGCGAACCGAGCTATCGAACACCTGTGCAGTTTTTAGTGATTGTTGTGTACAGCCGACGATTTTGCGTTTGTTTGTGCGGCAATGCTGCTGCACTAGCGAGCTGGTATTAGGAGCAACCTCTGAATTCAATGCAAGATGGAGCAGGGCGGAATTCAAAAGCCCCGTTTTTAACAATGCGTTACGCGTGACTTTTGATCATGGTTTCGGGGAAGTGGTTAACTACCGGGCCTACGTTACAAGCCAAGGATTATCGGAACAGTAAGAAAGCACTGATGCGAAATACCCACGCCATCATAAGTGCATCATAACAGCAAAAAGGCACCGATTCCAAATGTTAATGCCAGGAGACAGTTGCGCTGCGCGGCCGCCGACACGCTAAAGCGCAACATTCCTGTAACAGCTACAAACATCGCTTGTCCACGCTTCAGTGGAATGTCACAACACGTCAGATCTCAAAGGGAGGAACGCCCCACCTACCTAATCCCTCCACGGCACCTCCATGAGCTCCGGCCTCTTCTCCGTCCTGTACGACAGCAGCTTGGCGTAGCTCACCAGCAGCTTCCTCCAGTAACACGACACGTCCTTCATGCGCAAGTTGTCCAGTATAAACTGTTGCCCGCGCCTGGCGATCTCGCGCGCCACGCCTTCGTTCTCCTGTGCGAACAAAATGAGCCTCTCCAGCTCCGCCTCGGTCGGGTTCCCACGCACCGGCACGTAGTGCACCCATGGCTTTAGCTGCGGGTAAAAGAACTCGCTCCACTCGTCGCCCACGTGGAAGACGAGGCTGCCGCAGAGGAAGAGGTGCTTGAAGCGGAAGCTGGCGGCCACGCCGCGGAAGTTGAAGAGGTACTTGTAGCGGCAGTGGTCCTCGAGTGCCACCTCGGCGGCCGGCTGGGCGCCGAGCGTGTCGCTCTCGGACCGCCACGCCTGGTTCTTGGTGTACTGGGCGTCGACGAGCGCCGGCCGGCGCCGGCTTAGCAGCACCAGCGGGTCACGCTCGGCCGAGGTGCGCGAGCCGCGGAAGAAGGCGCGGTCGGCACGCTCCTCCCAAGGCGTGGCGCGCGCCGCCCGCGAGATGGACACGATGTGCTGGTCCCAGCGGCCCAGCCCGGTGGGGTACAGCGAGATGGCCGGCCCACCCGTCCAGAAGGTCCACGCCGGGTACGTGATGTCCCAGTAGTCAGGCGTCTTGCTGAAGGAGAACACCGGCAAGCGGCGCCCATGGTGGAGGTTCACCATCGGCCAGTCGCGGGTGTTGAGGACAAACTCCATATCGGGCAGCGTGTCCACCAGCTGAAGAATGAAGTGCTCGACACCTCGGCAACGGAACTCAAACATGCAGTCTGTCTGGCGGTACAACTTGTGGTCAATGATCTGGTATATCACTCCAAGGTCCATGGCATCCTCCACCATAGACTTCGTGATTTTTGATTCCTTGAAAGTTGCAAGATCAGACTTGATGAGAGCTTTGTGGCAGCCACAGTTTTCTCTGTTACACTCAACATAGCTGCTGATGCTTTGCTCCACAAGTCGGAGCTCTGGTTTCCACTTTTCATTAACTTCTTTTGAATACTTTGCCTTCTCATGTTCCAGAGATATATCTGAGTCATCTTCCTTATTCCCACAACTGCTAGCCACATGAATGATAAAAACACATGCTAACAACAGCAATGTTTGAATTTGCCAGCCCCAAATCATTGGTATTCACCTTTCTATTTTTTGGGTTGCTTTTCTGCTGTTGATGGCTAGCCACCTTTATCACATACAGAAGCCAACTATGTCTTTAATATGAGAATTAGAAGATACTCAAGTGATGTTTCACTGGAGATGACTATCCAGCTCAACTGGGCCTGAAAAAGACAATGTTATTGTTAGACATACATCCATTTTTTCAGTGAGCTTCTCCATTTATAGGTACATTATGATAACCAATGCAAGCCACATTATCTGTAGCAGTTCCCCAGTCATCAATCATCTCTGAATAATACATTCTTTTACTAGAATAGCTTATCTGATAAGAGGTTCATACATGATGATTTGGAATTCTCGCAGCACTTCACCAGTTTCCAAGGGTGAACTCGCAATCAGGGAATTGGCCATGCATGACTTTTTGAACAACTGCAGCTCTACTACCCTAGCTCAGGAATTCAAGCTGACTGCATGATTTTTGCTCAAATACAGTGTTACTACATGGCTGCTCTATGCCTGCATGACCTTCCTCGCCAGTCCCCAGTGCAGCACCTTGGATGTGAGCTGGGACATGGACTAGCAATGGCCAAGGAGCCAAGCCCCCTCCCCTTGTCCAGGGTTACACTTAACAGTGTGTGGTTTTGCAGGAATTTTGTCCCATTTGTAAGAAATTGGGAACAATGGCTTTCCCACTAAATGGAAATTCTGGCCTTGCGCCTAGTCGTGGTGTGTCCATGATATATCTTTCACCTGGTCAAAAAGGTCCTCCACTCCCTGAGCAGCAAGGTACACTTGGATTCCGTGCAATTAATAACACCTTTTAACTTTTGGTTAGCGCTGCCCGCAGAATGCTCATGGTGGTCATTTCTCTTCTAAAACAAGAAAACTACTCGAAAAGTGCCAACTTGGAACATACTGCCCTCCCATGAAGCACAAACTACCTCAATGCCCACCACAAACTATGCCGCCTCAAGAACCAAACACACACAGCGCACCCCCACACCTCGGAAACGCTGACGTCGCCTCAGGTTTAGTGCCTTGACCTCGCTCCATCGCCTCTGCAGTGCAGCTACCAAGGTGACGGCTAAAGGAAACAATGTGCCTTCGCAGACTCATCAAAGTAGAATGCGTAATTAAGTACAAGTACTAGCTGATGCTCAGGTCGCTCACATCGCTTTTTGCCAATCTCTATTACTTCTCAACGATGCATTAGGCATATTTGCTAATTAATGGTCATTAATAGACACAATGGTGATAAATGCCAACGGACTTTTTGGCAAGGATTTTTAATACGTCATTTAGTTGTTGCAGCACGAACGGCAAGGTTCTCAACCCGTGATCCACGCTGTGTTGTTGTTACCCTGGGGTTGTCGCGGTGTGGGGTAGAGTCGTGTGGTTGTTGGGCGCTGGACGACAACTTATCTGGCTTACAGGATCTGACATCTCAAATTTGGTAATTGAATTCCGCGTGCACATTCTTCGGGTCCAAGCAAGTGAGCTGAAAGCTTCAAAGGTAAGCTTCAGGAGACCCTCAGATACCTACCACTTCTTATTAATTCACTCGCACATTTCGACTTACGATAGTACAAAATGAAGATATGCTCAATGCTGCCAACAAATACTCGTTCACGATCCGTGCTCTTGCGCTTGGTGATCTGGGACGTGTGAAGCTTGGTTTACGAGACATGAAATGGGCCTGGTGGGCATTATTATCGCAGGCGTCTCACTGGGCTGGGCATCGTGATTCCGAGGTTGTGTCACAATTCAAAGCTTTTTGATATAGTCTTTTGCTGACCTGATTATTGCATGACAAGCAAAGTGAAAGGGACCGCTCCTCATTATATGGAGTTTGGATCTGCAAAAAACATTTTTTGTATGCATCAAATCCAATTAACGGAGGTACACACGGACTTGTGTAGCCAAAATTTGATTGAGTGCAAAATGAGATTTGAGTTTGTGATTATGCAAAGAACAGTGAACAAAATTGTCATGGTGTATTAAGTAAGGGACCAAAACAGGACATACTGTTCACCTTTACAACTTCCTCAGTGACAGCTGTCAAAAAACAAAACAAACAAACTAGAATACAATGATGACCTCATGGCCACCATGTCAATAGCACTAAAATTTCTATCCTGTTATGCAATGTAGTCACTTCTTTAACCCATGGATGAAGTTCTCACCACCCCCATTGCCATGGGAAATATGACCCCTTGTTTGGACCTTTAAATGTAGCATCATACCATACCATCATGTGGGCATGTGAAAATTTGTTTCAGAATACCCCTATCCCCATCATCATTTGATGAATCTGTTCTTTTCTACTGGCCTGTGATGAGATTATTTTTGCCACTAGGGGTGTCACTGTATACTTTTGGGGACTGGGCATCACCCCAATGCTGACTTGAGCCCCTCAATGCTCTTCTAACCCCACTAGGCATATAAGCAAATAGGGAATACTAGATCAATGAAATTCATCAAGTGTGGACTGCTGGACTTTGGACCATTGGCACACTCGGCATGTAAGCACTATCAATATCATCATCATATATCATCATTATCACTATGACACTAGCTTCAAATGGAAAGTCATTCCTCAACATCAAGACAGTTTTGGAACTGACCAAGTTTTTTTAAAAAATTTGAAGTCATCAGGGGTGTGTCCAAACTTTTGGGTAGAAATGGGGACTTTGGAGGGCATGTTAGGTTTGGCTCAGCCTCCAATTGATTTTAGAAAGTGTTCCCCCAGCTTGCTGCCCTTTATTTTTTCAAGTCAACAAAACCCAGGACACCCCTTTGTAGGCTGTCAGGACCCTCTGTACATAAAGGGACCACATAAGGTAGTTAGAGGGCCCTGCCAACCATGTAAGGGTACCTTGAGGTGTGCGGCCACCATGCCACTGACAATAACATTTGTTTGTTTCTCAGCAACCAATATTTAGAGAATTCATGTGGGATTAAACCACACTTCAAATGCTTCCAGGAACTGAAGTCCCACTTTGCAGGGTCCCAGTCTGTCCTGAAGTCTCTTGAGAAATACCAATAAAACAAAAGTGGCCAGACCAACCATAAATTCATTTGGGTCTGGACTGCATCAATGTCAGTGATGGTCACACCCATGTGCATAGGCTGGGAGATATGAAAAAAGATCAGATATTTTAGGACGCCCACCCTCAGAACAGTGAAGGCTTTTCAAAATTGGGATTGCTCGTTGGCTAACGCCCAAAGCATATGTTCGTCCCCCAGGTGATTTGAGTCTGTGGCGCTTGGGGAAAGAACTCGGCCTCCGAATACCACGGTTGATTGGGGTACTGTAGCGGCAGGAGACCGGGATGGCGGGGGCCGTCAGCAGGCTAATAGTCGTCTGTGAGTGTTGATCAGCGCCTTGTGGCCGAGACACTTTCTGAGCGGTGGAACGCACTGGCACCCCTGTGGAAGGAGATCGGGATGTAATGATGGTGGTCATCATCACCGTGATCATGATGATGAAGTGGTGCTTTTTTACGATCCAGTGCCTCGTTTTCGACATTTGTTTTATCACAGTGTATTCACGATCAGGATAGGGCTGCATGAAGCCGCTGAGAGCGAAGGCCGGGTTTTTACAATATCAAGCTTCCTGGGCTCTGTAGGTGCGGGCGGCGAGTTCTCAGTCGATTCGAGTCTTGCATCTCATAGACCGCGACAAACTCGGAGCGCCAGTTCGCTTCCAGAGATGCAAGGCTCTATCCAAGGCGGCACATACTGCTTCACCCGTAATCACAGTTCCTCAGAACACCAATCACAGGTACCGATTCATTCAAGTCTGCTGTGCGAACGTAAATCTCAGCGTCTAAAATGGAGAGCATTGGTAGCACTCAGCTTGGCACTACGTCGCCCGCGACGCCAGTATGCACGCGCCAACAGCCCGCCGAGCATCGCAGCCGCACATATTGGTACCGCTCTCCAAAACTACCCAACCCCCCGATTCGGCCACCCACACCTCAACCGAGCTACATCACCCCTGCAGCATCATGGACCGCCCGCGAAGCATGCCTACGGTTCGCTTGCCGCTGCTGGGCGGCGCTGCCGTCGTCCGCCAGGCGGCGCTCGCCGCGGGCCGCCAGGCTGCGCCGTCTACCGCTTCCTGTAGCTGCCGTCGCCGTTGCGCGCGGCACGCCGCTCCACCACGTCGGCGGGGACGTCTTGAGGCTGTGCGCCAGGCCGAGCCGCGAGCACAGGTCGATGAAGGCCGTGGTCAGGTTGGCGCCGTAGCCGGGCAGCTCGGCCGTCTTGTAGTCCCAAGGGAACGAGTGGTGGTAGTTGTGCCATCCCTCGCCGAAGGCGGACAGCGCCACGGCCGCGTTCTCGGCCGGGCTGATATGGCGGTCGTACGGGTGCATGCCCCACATGTGCGCGGCGCTGTTCACCAGCCACGTGCAGTGGAGCGTCATCACGTACTTGAGCACGCTGATGAGGAAGGCGTTGGTGAGAACTCTCGCCCCAGAAGTACCAAGGCACCACGGTCGGCACCGCGAAGCACACGAGCACCGCCAGCGGCAGGTAGTAGCGCTTCTGGAACATGACCACCGGGTCGGCGAGCAGATCGGAGAGGTCGGTCTTGGCGCCCTGGCGGCGCACCTCCGGGTGCTTGCGCACCACCAGCCAGCCGCAGTGGGCGAAGAAGAAGCCGCGCGAGGCGTTGTGCGGGTCGGCGTCCGTCTCTGAGTGCCGGTGGTGTAGCCGGTGGTCGCGCGCCCACTCGTAGATGTGGTTCTGGCCGGCCATTGTGTACATGAGCATGAGCAGCAACGCGCAGCGGCAGCCGCGCGCTGTAGGAGCGGTGCGACCAGAGTCGATGCGCGCCGGCGGTGACGCCCATGCCGCCGATGGCGTAGCAGGCGATGCCGAACAGCGACGTCAGCCAGTGGGCGGCCGTCAGCGCGCGGATCAGCCCCAGCACGGAGAGCAGGTGCAGCGCGACGAAGAAGAGCACGCTGCGCCAGACGAGCGGCGACGGCGGTCGCGCGGCCGGCGCCGCCTCGCCGGCCGGCGCGCCAGCAGTGGCGCCTCTGACGTGGAGATGTTGGGCGCCATGGCGGAGACGAGGCTGGCCTGTGGGCTTCCGGTGGTCTGACGCTGACCTAAGACGCTGCCGGCGCGGGCTCGCTGTGCGGCGCCGACTGACGGGCGTCGGCGGCGAGTGGGCGGCGGGGCTCGGCGCACGGTGGGTTCTCGCTCTGGTCTCGAGATCGGGCGTCACAGGCCGCCGGCAGCGTGACCCGGTGCTCGCCGCGCTCGCCGATGGGAGCCGCTCGCTCGGCCGCGCCGCTTTTGTACGCGTCCGCTGCGGCCGCCGCACACGTGAAGTCTGAAGTCCGCACCGGCCGGCAGCGGCCTGAACCCCGCGCCGCCGCCGCGCAGCCGGCGCGGCGTGTGACGTCACGTCACGTGGTGCCGGGAGGCGGGGCCTGCCGTCGAATGACGCGCTGGCGGCGCTCGTACGATGCCGGCCGGGTGTGGGCCGACCGGCGCCCCCGGCTACCGCAGCCGCGTGTTGTGACTGGGGAGCGACAGGGGAGGGGGCCGTTTGGGGAAAGGGTGGCGCCTAACGGCGGCGAGGGGAGCGTTGGGAGAATGGCGAGTTATGCATGGCTCACTCGCCACAGTGGGGTTGTTGCCCGTTCGCGAAACGGGAGGTGTGGCAGAGTGGTTCTGCGAAGTAGTGTCACGCTGGCGCGGCGTTTGAAGCAGGACGGCCCTGTTGTGGCCGGCTGGTGGCCTGCGGCATGATGTCACTTTATTGGCACAGCTGGCGCAGGCCGTGTGTCAGTGGCGTCCACGCATCAGGTCGCCGGATAGCGTCGGTCGCCGCTGGTACCGGCTCCAGATCAGGGCACTGGTGTCGAAGGGTGTCAGGCGTGGATGGGACTGGTCCCAGACCAGCAACGTGGCGTCGTAAAGTACGAACTGATCCTGGATAGGCGAGGGGGGATATCGGACCGTTCTGTTCGTGGGATACCATTGCGGCCCAAAGCTGCTGCCTTATCGGCCGACACCCTGTGCTAGCCTGCAAACAAAGCCGTGGCGGAGCCGAACAGCCGTCCAGGGCGCAGCAAACGCCGCGTGGTGAACGCGGCCGATACGGCGGCCACACCCCGAGCCCGCTGCTGGGCAGCGGCGGGCGCCTCGCCGCCTGTTTGTGCGCCGCCGCCCACCGGCCGCGAGCCGTGACGATGGTGACCGACGGGTGGTGGCGTTGGCCGCTTCAGGGACCGGCGAGGGAGCGGCAGGGGCGTCGACAGCGCGCCCGCCCCCGCCCCGCCCCGTTTCCATTTCGCCCTTCCCTGGCCGCGGCCTCCTCTGGCCGAAATCACCCCGCCGACCCTCAGCGTCGTTCGTCTCCCCCCCCCCCCCACGTTCCCAACCGGCGACGGGACTCAGAGCGCAGTTTTTAGTGCTGGTCTTGAACTAGCTGCTTGAAGGGTATGACTACTAAATCACGTATGGACAGATAACTCGGAAAATAGCGGTGTAGCAGTATGGGGTTTTAGCGTCTTCATCAGTTATGTTTGGCTCGTTACCAAATTCTTCCGATAGTGCATAAATATACACAAAATACGCAAGGCAGTAGGTTGTGTTCCATCTGTATGAAATTTCGAGCCCATATGCCGCTCATCTCCACAGTCCCTTTTCGTTCGTTGCTGTTTGCCGTGAGGCTTTTCCAAGCGACCTTCTGCCACGGCAATGGTGTTTTAACGTACTTTTGGCAATAGAGAGAACGGCACTGCTGTGATTTGCTGTAATGCTTCGGTTACAAACGAAAAACGCGCTGGAGCTTACGCTGTTGCCAGCTTAAAAGCCACCCATGGTTCTGTTCCTAAATTTCGCCTCGACACATTTGCCTGCGATGGCGTCGGGGCCTCGCATGCTAGATACAGCGTCCTCAGAGTGCGCTGTGTCAAGTGCAACCCAGTCGTTGTTCACCGACGTCGGGGGGTCTGTAACGCGATGGGCTCAGGGAACTTTTGGGCAGCCGGAGGTCCGGAGTTCGATTCCCCGCGCTACCCGTCCTTTCTGCCTGGATGAGAGGCGGGCATGGGAGCTGAGGAGCTCCGAGGAGACTCAGTATCTTCGCTGAATGCGTCGGAAAGCCTGCGCGATGGCAGCATGTGACTGCTTTTGGTGCTGGAGCGGTGTTATTCGTTGTGTTATTCAGACTCAGACTATTATTATAGACTGAGTTATATAGACTAATGTTATTCATACTCCCGAACTTCCAGTCTATCTCCCCCTGCCGAACCAAAATTATGTTGACCTTGCCTGGTCCCCCAGTACGCTAGCCAAGGGTGGATGACAGTGCTCATGTATGACCTAACAGAGCGCCTGCATCCACCCCGGCTATAGCCATACCTTTTGCCCCGCTTTTTCCTGGAACAGATTGCTTATCCAACCTCGTATTTACTTAAGTTGCCGTTAATGTCTGCTCGTTTCTCAGAAGGCCGCTTACATAATACCGAGGATATACGTGCTGATGCAGTCATATGTTTGTCCTCCGCGACGACGCGCACTTCTTACGGGCGAAGCGAACACCCGCCCACGGCTGAAGGCGTCCGCCACGCCACGAGCGAAGCGAGCACCCGCTCACGGCTGAAGGCGTCCGCCACGCCACGAGCGAGGCGGACACCCGCTCACGGCTGAGGGCGTCCGCCACGCCACGAGCGAGGCGGACACCCGTTCCCGGCTGAGGGCGTCCGCCACGCCACGAGCGAGGCGGACACCCGTTCCCGGCTGAGGGCGTCCGCCACGCCACGAGCGAGGCGGACACCCGTTCCCGGCTGAGGGCGTCCGCCACGCCACGCGAGGCGACACCCGTTCCCGGGTCTGAGGCGTCCGCCTCGCCACGAGCGAGGCGGACACCCGTTCCGGCTGAGGGCGTCCGCCACGCCACAGCGAGGCGGACACCCGTTCCCGGCTGAGGGCGTCCGCCACGCACCCACGAGCGGAGGCGGAACACCCGTTCCCGGCTGCGGCCCTCGGCGCGCCACGCCAGCTATGACAGACATTGAGCGGTGTTTGCAGTGCGAGCGCATGCGGGCCGCGTGGGGCTTGTCGGACAACTGGGGCGCGCTCGCGCCCGGCATTACAATGCGTGCGCCTATTCAGCCGCATTGCCGCGGCTCATTCGCCTGCGGCGCCGTTATTGACCAGGCCCAGTCGGCGCGCCGTGCCCGGCCCGTTCCGGCGAGAAGGCCGTGACGAGCGGTTGCCTGGTGGCGTGGCATTGTTTTCCTCGCTTCCGTGCCGGTCGCCACGAAAGACTCCGCTGGCAGGTCGGGTTTCTTATGCGGTTGCAGGGGTTGCCAGGAACGTGCCGCAGGACCTATGTCATTGAAGGCTCTGCACGAAGTAGAGAAATATTGCGGACGGTGAGCGGATGCGAATGGTGGGCAGATTAGGTTTCGTGCCGGGTACGAGTTGCGCAGATATGTGGAGATGTCCGATGGTCCAGATTTCGTACCTCGTCATTGTGATCACGATCTTTGCATACAACTGTGCGCCTAATGGTGCTGTGACGTAGCTGGTAATCATTTCAAGGTACTCTCAGCTCAAACCGAACGTCTTCCGAGCTTTCCAGTGACTGTCGTCGACTAGCGGGGTGCTTTGAAGTCACTGTTGATGGCCGATGCCCGCTCTCTTCCGTGTGACGCCAGCGCGTTACCCCTGACGCTCGCCAGAGGAAGCTGGCCGATTGGGTTGGATTCTGGGCGACATATCGAGAGGCGTGTGTTCGATTCTCGCTGCAGGAAGCTTTCACTGGGAACGTTTCATATCAGGCTATGGTGGTGGTAATGGCGGCAGCAGTCGCAGGCGTCAATAGATGACGAAGCTGTCATCCATCTATTGATTTTGTGTTGTTCGTTGGTAGTTTAGGGCGAGCCGACTGCAGTGGTCATTTTGCGTTCATCCATCTACTGAGAGCGACATGGCAGTCGTGCAGAGTATTCCGACGGCTCCTCCGCGGCGGGCCGGCTGTGCCACCCGCCAGGGCGCCTCCGTTCTGTTGCCGCCCGCTGCAGGCCAGACTGCTGCGGTCGGTCAGCTGAGCCCGCGCCGCATCCGTGCACCTCCGCTTGTCTCCGGCAGCATCTGTCTCGCTTTTTCGCTGCCAGATGCGCTGCGGCCGGGCCGCACGGGGCTGTCCGGCGACGCCGGCACATCGGGCCCGACAGATCGCTTGTCCGCGGGCTTGAAAGGCGCGCACACACTGCTCGGCGACGAGTTCACTGTTCCGAGTTGTGACAGTTGCTTGTGTTGCGTGACGGCACCAAGGATCTATGTGTCTTGCCACATTGCTACTAATCGTTGTTTGTGTGGAGCTAACTGGAGCGTGAACATGCCCGCGCTGTGCTTTTACTTCGTTTTTCACTGATGTAATGCCCTTGCATGCAGGGGCCGAGGTCATGCGATCTGCTGACACCGTCCGCTACTGTGGCCAGGGCATCATTAAGCATTGCCCATCACCACGCGATGTTGCATGGAACCGGAAGGAAGGCAGACAGAATGCTTCCACTTAACCATATAGCGGCTCTCTATTATTGTTTGCGTGCAGATTGGCGTTTTGGATTGAATGAATCGTAAATGGTGCTTCACTGCTGACTGCCAGATATCGAGCGTCCGCCGCCACGGCAGGGGCGCCGGCGGCGCGCCCCACCAAGGCCGCCAGCCACCCCCGCCGTCGCCCCGCCGCCGCCCTCGCTGCCTCACTGTCCGTCGTTACCCGAGCCGTCGAGGCGTGACCTGCGGCAGCGGCATTCGTTGCAGCCCTGCGGGCCCGGCCGCCGGCCGTGTCGCTCGGCCGTCATCCGGCGGCGCCGCCGTGACGTCACCGCTCGCTGCGGGCTGGCTGCGCAGCGCGCCGCGCCGGCTCACCGGCCGATGTCACGTGATCACGTGCGCGCCGGATGTTGCCACGTAACGTTGGCCAGGGCGGCCGGGAATTGACGCTGTGGCACCAAAGAATGA